GACCGCCTGTCCGCCTGTCTCCCCCTCTCTCTCCATCTCCCTCTCTCTTACAACCCCCTCCCTTCACCTTTGTTCTCCCCCGTTTCTCACGGTCACAAACTCCAACTTGGCCCCTTTTCATATTTCTTTTCCTAAATGAATGTGATGAGCTGAATAATGATGCCAGCGATGTAACGGGCGCACTGGGTGTGCCGGTTCCACGGGGGCCAGGGCCAGGGCCGTCCCTGCCGCTGCGGTGGGGAGTGGGGAGGGGAGAGAGGGAGACAGCAAGGGAGAGAGAGAGAGAGAGAAGAAGAGACGGAGGAAAAAACTGGGGACTTAATTCACACAACTTTTTCCATATCAAGAGGAGAGGGCGAAGTCGCTGGGGTTGCCTTTTCGGGAGGAGCAGAATCGGGCAGAGAGGTCGACAGATGAGTTTTTTTTTTTGCATGGGATGATTCAACGAGTGGCCCCCATCCCTTCCTCCCCATTCACCCTTCACCCGGGAGACCCGCCCAGGCCAGGGTCGCCAGAGCAGCGGCATGGCGCATGGCGAGTCGGTATCGGGAACTGGCGTCAGGGCAAAGTGACAGCGGGAGCAGACTCGGGCGAGGAAAGGGTAGAGGTGGGGGAGGGGGGCGCCGGGGGCAAAGGCAGCAGGCAGATGGAGCCATTATCCGCTATCCGCGAAAGCTATATTGAGCGATATTGGTCTCAATCAAGTTATCCGTGTAGATCCCGCTCGTCCGCGGCAGGGCTCGGCGCGCCCGGCCCCGCCTGGTATGAGAAATGGCGCGACCCGCAAATCCCCTAATAGATGCGATACCGACCGCCGTATTTCTCATCCACTGCCTCCCCCTCTCGACATACACCCTCCACCCCCCTTCCCCCACCCCCATTTCCTTTTCCCCTTGATGATGACGGAGGTGAGATTTTACTTCGCGAGCCGGAGCGTACGTCAACCCCCGGGGACGGGCCGGGCGGGCGGAGGGGTCGGGCGAAGGGTCCGCTACACCCGGCTATATCATTAGGGCCTGCTCGTGCTGATGCTGCCCCGCGCGCGCCCGGCGCTGCTCCGGGATGAATTAGGGCCCCGAGTACATCCCTGAGAATAATCCTCGCTAAGTAACGCCCGGCCAGGGTCGAGGCCGGATGAGGGAGGCAGCGGCGGGGCGAGCACGTCCGAGGCGTGTTTGGCCGACCGACATTCTGTACGCCTGCAACCGCAGTGGTGTGAGAGGAGCAGGGATAGTGCGCGTCGGACAGGAGAGGAAGAGTCGAGGGGGGTTTACTCCAAAAAAACGTGCACAGAGTACTCCGTATTACACTGTATTACGCGGTATTACGCCGGTATTCCAAGGGACAAATTACCATTTTAAAGCATCTTTTGATATTTTTCGGTATCACATTGTGCGTAATATCGTGTAATACCCAGGTCAGGTGTACCGGGTGATTCAGAGCACGCGCCGCCGTGTTGCGGGTTAGCCTATCCTCGACTCGGCGGGCGCACGGGTGAGAGGTGAGGAGGGGACCCCTCTTC